CCTAGGCTACCAATGTGGTCTCAAGTTGGGTAGGGCGGTCATCCAAGATATTGTTGGAGATCCAAAGAAAGTCCTTATCTACAAATTCAGGATGACTTCATCCAATTTGCCCATGGACTGCTCAGACAATGATTGTCGTGCATCAGATGTTCCTCAAATATTCCCGTTGAAGCTGCAGAAGCCGGAAGAGTGATCCTTGGATGTTCGCAATTTGGAAGCAAAGGCCAAGGGACTCTGGACTGGAGTTGGTGGGTGATCTTATTGAGGAATATGTTCTCTACCTACCGGGTGAAACATCTCACACGAGGTCTGGACGCAAAAACCAACAAAGAGTTTGTGAGTGGACAAGCCGCGCATGAGGAGGACATTATTGAGTTTGTCTCAGAAGCCATAGAGGCTAGCTGTCGTCTAGGCCAGCATGTTGGATTCCAAAATGGTCAGCAACAATTCAAGGAAAACAATGGGTTGGCTGGCAACAAGTGGATCTATTCATTTGTTGAGAATGGATCTGACGATATGATCCAGATTACCACAGCAAAGAATCGTGATTACTTTCCAACAGGTTACTTTTCTATTTGCAGCAACAAGTGCCAAAAGAAGTGAACTTATAGTTTAGGATTAGTACTAAGAGTATCCAGATTACCACAGCAAAGAAACGTGATTACTTTCCAACAGGTTACTTTTCTATTTGCAGCAACAAGCGCCAAAAGAAGTGAACTTATAGTTTAGGATTAGTACTAAGAGTATAGGGGTATAATTTTTCAATGTACCATCAGCACTAGCATACGCAGTCCACCCTCTCTTATCAAAGATCCTTTAGACGCTCTCTGTTTATGACAGCACTTCGTTTCGACCTCCTAGTAGGAACATCAGCACAAGCATCAGCAGTCCACCCTCTCTTTTCAGAGATCCTGTTGACGCGCTGGTACGTGTTGTGCGTTCTATTTAGGTCTTCAAGTAGGGACTTGAACTCTTTTGCCATTTGAACATCTTGAGGATGGGAGGCTCTGTCCAAGAATTTGTCTACCCCATCGCCACGGCGACAAAAAAAATCACCCATCTTGCTGTTAAGACTTCGGTGTGATTCCAAAAAAGAGTGGATTGTCTGATCCACATCATGGAGCATCAAATGTTCCTGGGGTAGGTAGTGATCCACTCCACTACTCAGACCAATCAACTGCTGAGTTCTGTCAACGGATTTTGAATCAAGGTGTGCATGAAGGGCCACCTTTTGCGGTGAACCGGACACTCGACTGGTGATTCCTCCATGGGGTAGATCGCCTCTAAAGATAAGGATGTCACCATTTGGAATCAAGACTCTATGCTCAAGAGTCCGAATGTAGATTTCCCTCCCTTCCTTTTCCAGGGGCACAATAACAGACCCCGGCACAAAAGAGTATTTCTCCTTGTCTTTGTGCACCATGTCAATAGCACCAGCATGGTCAACATGGCAGAATTGATGAATGGGTTCCGGTCCACAAACTTCCCTTTCGTTGCCACCAAATAGGGCTGCAGCCTCCTTTAGTTGGACGTCGAAAGACTTGTTCTCAGTGTACATACCCAGAAAATTTTTCTTCTTCTTTTCACCCATAAGGCTGTACTGCCACATTTCCTTCATCTTTTCCAAGTCAAGTGCAAAGGGGGAGGCCATGTTTTCAATCCCAAGCCGAGACACAATTGTGTACATCAATTGGGCCATGGACATTTGATGCATCCTTGGCGTCAACTCCTTGTGAAGGGGGGCTCCTGGGAGGAGGAGAGAACCACGATCATCAAATACATAATCAGCTTTGCCAAAATGTCGCCACTGCTTTGATGTAGCGGTCACCAAATATCCAATGAAACGGTATCGAGAATTGGCAACTGTAATTGTTGATATAGTGGCGGAATGTGGCTGTGTTTTGGGTGTCGCACTCTGAGGAATGATAATACATTTCCTCTACGTTCATCATTAAATCATCCAACAAAACGGGCCCAGTCTTTTTGCCAGCCTTGAGATCAATTGTTTCGCCTGCTTCAGTCTCGTCGTTTGCTGCCAGCTGTTAATCAATGTTGGGCCAGTGCAATGATACAATGTTGGAGTTTGTGGATAAAAATCTGATACTTGTGGAAGAGGTTGATTACCTCCATCACAATTATTGTGTCTTGATGCTGTCAATAATCCCTCATCTTCCCAAGCAATGCTGAAAGTTATTGTGTTATAAAATGGATGTTATTGCTCCAGAAATGAAGGGAGGACAGACTCTAACTCTAGATGAAAATAGATTTATTGAAAGGTGTTTATAGATGATGTTTTGAACTTGTGCTTGATTTCTAATGCGGTGGCGTTGGGTAAGTATCGGAATGTGCTTGCTTTGGTCCATGACAGAAATGTTCAAGTTGTGGATGACACAAAAGAGGCATCTGTACAATATGCTGAATAATCAACCCAATGGACCTCTCATTTTCAAAGTGATGTGTGACATTGGGTGCCCTTCGACACGGAACACCACGCAAACGCTGATAAATTGGATCCAAACAATGAGACCTCGTGAGTTCAACAACAACATTGTCCAACTTAATGCGACATTCACATCACTGAAGGAACAAATTTGTGCACAACAGGGCAGCAGCAACTCTCTAACAGAAGAATTATCGTACAATGCCCTTGTTTTGGCTTACAACTCCGTGGACCTAGATCAATTCAAAGCATTCATGGGAGTAAAGGACAATTCAGCTATCCAACCCCACAAAGATCTTATGCCAAAAGCCAATGCAAAATTCCTAGACCTGGATGAGAAGAAAGTGTGGAATGTCCCTTCACAAAGTCAACAGCTTATGTCCTTAACGACACTAATCTCCAAGGCAGAAAAGAAGACTATCAATGTCCAACAACAGCTGGAAAGGTCAAAACAGTCCCGCAAGGAAAATCCAAACATAAAACTTCACCTGTTGATCAAGCAGCTGACAGTGCCAAAAGACAGTGGCAGACAAACGTTGATACATGGATGCTTGCCAAACCCAAGAAGGGAGAGGAGACCAAGGTGGTACAGAAGAAAGGTCTGAGTGGACAAGTCAAAGGATGGAACTGGTGCAACAAGCACAGAAAATGGACCATTTGACGTGATGGGCAACCACACAATTTGGACACCTGCGTGTTGAGCAAGACACCATCCAATAGCAACCTGAAGCAAGCCAAGAAGAAGCAGCTTTGTGTCAAAGCACTCAAGGCGGCACTTGCACTGGAAGACAACAGTGAGTCTGACAATGCCGCAAGCAATAGTGACGGTGAATTCCCAACAAACGACAACAGAAGTAACAAGATTGATCACGATAATGACTCTTGTGATATTGGCAAGCAGAGACTCGACCTCAGTCATATCGGGAAAATCACCACCAAACTTTCTATCAAGACCTTCAAATCGCATCTCTGTTTACCAACCAGTATCAACTTTGGGTGTTGTTTTGGAGTGCTGTGCCGGTAAAGAGATTCTAGGCTAGCATAATTTTCTCTCTCTTGCCTACTGTAAAACAGTGACTTTGTGGAATTGCCTTCCCTGTGATCCAATCTATCCGCATTCCCAATTTGAAGTATACAGAGGTCAAGTTTAGATATATCAATATATTATTGCCAGGGAATTTATCTAAAGATGTAATTGCGACAAGGTCAAAATGTAGGAGATCAGCCTCTGGCCTCTTGATTTTCTTTTTGTAGTAATCAAATGAGTCAAAACGACCAAAAAAGTGTCCGTCTTTTGTACCTACCGTATTCAAAAGCATCCATTCACTACAATAAAAAACAGAACCAAAACACATCACACAGCCAATCTGGAAAAACTACCACCATTCTTCACTTTTATACTATAATAACACACTGCCTACAATTCAGTGATGGTTCAATCCAATCCAGACGACAAGACCAAATCCAGGCTGCTGCACCCATCCTTCACCATGCAATCAGCCATCCAGAGGACATAAAAAATAATTCATGGAGGGCAGGTTTCATGGACGACCATAATATCAATCCGGCAAAACTGGCCAATTCTCTATACCACCCTGAAGGTATCAGGACAACAAGTATTAGCAAAACAATACATCTGCGAAAACCAGAATAATGACGCCCCCCCCCAACACTCAACGACTTATTTAGGTCTGTTGCCAGAGTCTTTATTGATGATATGGAGCGTGTAGGACTTTCCATTACATGGAACAAACGGTCGAGAACACCATGGTACAATGAACTTGGTGCCTTGAAAGGCAAGGCAACCACGTTGGTTGCCTAAGGCAGATTTGCCAAGGGTGCCAGTATTTAATTCTACTGTTCCCGTTGCATGACACCCAATCCCTTGGGTCTTGTTGCTAATTGTCGATTCATAGATTTGAGCAAACAGTGTTTCAAGTAGTTGATTGATGGTAGCTACAGCTACTGTCGAGAGGTAAATTCTCGAACGGGTCCACCATTTTCGTTTATCAGAGAAGGCATTCTTAGCCGCCGCTGTTAGGGCATTCTGTAAATTGAAACTGAGGAAAGTTCCCCATGGAGCAATGGCTGAGGCTGATCGTACAATGCCCACAATTCGGGCCATCTCGCGTGGAGTGACAAACTTGATCGGTTTTGCCAGCACATCAGTTAAGAAATCGTGTAAAGCTTGACGCTTATCGAGAGGCCAAGAGACAGTCATATCATGAGTGTCAATCCGAAAACCCAAGAACACGAAAGATTCCGAAACTGTCTTTACCCACTTGGCTTGTTGCAAGGGATGACCTCTTCGAAAATCGGATCCAAAGACCTCAAATGCTGACATCACACTGTGATGAACGGCTTGTTCAATTGCATCAAGAAACGCTGCCACCGCATTGTCATCCACATAACTGGCATTGTACATCCGTGACAATTCGTCAGTAGAGAGAGGAGGATAATGGGAATCAGATGGGACAGTCATCAAAGATGATTCTTGGTGCACTTCCAAATCACATTCTTGTACCAGACTGTGTAAAGCTTCAACAGGCACATCCTCCCGACATGCAGAAAGAACTTCACGCAAATCGGCCAAGACGCAATAGAAGGACGGTGCATTGCGTGAACCAAAAACTTGACCCACCGGGACAATCAGATAGTCGGAATATACATAAGCGAATGCCACAGCAACATCAGGATGGTACAATACACGTCGAAAAGCAGCTTCAATGTCATCAGCATGAACCAGAATGGGACTGTTCGGTCGCGTAACTCGCATGCGCAACAAATGTCGCAAAAACCGGTTAAATGCAAACTGATAGAAAACAGGAGGGCATTCCAATTCCAGGTTTTCCTTTGGCTTTGGGATGTGCGTGTTCACTGAACCGTCCTTATCCGGACCATTGGAGCAATCGATGCAAATGCGACCTTTTCCTTTGTCAAAAACCCACTGAATAGGATTGATCACGAGCCCAGGTATGAATTCATAGACAAAACGAAGATAGTGGATATGGTATGCCTTCCACTCTTCCTTCGCAAATTTCTCCTCGACCTTGTCCATGTTCGCGGATACTGCAGGATGGTTATCGTAGGCATTGCGTAAGATAGTAGCTTCCATTGGAGTTGTATAGTTTGCACGTAGTGGAACTCCCTCAGTTTGAATACGGTACGCCATGTCAAATTTCACGGGAGGATATTCCTTTGGAACGGTCTTGCCATCCATCGTCTTTTCGATAATATCCCATTCGGCATTGAAATCCCGACCTTGATTGACATATTCGCCACCAAGCCAGCGCACAAAATCGCCATGGTGGAAATCAAACCGCAGTAAACCTGCAGAATTAAGCCACGCGCGATGAGGATCCAAGGTAGTCGGAATCCCTGCCGACGGCATGGGACGTTCCTCCCGCAAACAAACGAGAGATGTGACTGACGCAAAGCGACGCAACTCCACATATTTCTTCCATTGTGGACAAGTTAGAACAACCTCCTTTCGATCGTCGACTTCAAGGAATTTCCAAGCATGGTGAATCATAGAGATTGGGTTCACTTTATCATGGGTACTCGACCTGTCTTTGTGCCGTTTACCAAAACCCCATTGCCTTTTTCGAAAAGGTGACCACGGGCGGGAAATGGGAAATGGAAGTACCAACAAATCTTTTATCAAAGCGTAATGAGTCTTTTCCATCATAGTATAATCGTCATTGGTGAAGAAACCAGAAGCTTGGACTAGATGGACCACTGTCATCAGTGTAGGTAGAACTTGTCCACAGCCAGGTACTTGGATGTGCATTGTCCCCGTTGTAGTCGTCAAGTTTTCTTCACCCACTGGCACACACGTTACGATGCGCAATGGTAATTCGACATATTCCAAATGCTGCCAATCTCCTTTACCTGGCCACCGATTTTTGACCTTTGGTCCCGGAGTGCGACGAAAAGGACGTCTTGGCGGCACCTGTAAAGTGACAGAAGTCGAGTTTACCATGGGAGATTCGTGTGACTTTAGCTGGGCCCCCTCGGGCGGCAACGGCTCCCATCACCATTGTGTGCTGGGCGTCAATCTTTTGAATGCTTCTGTTGGTAATAGATAGTCATTGTATTTCTTGACAAAAGCAACAACGTCTTTCCAGTTTGCTTCAGGGTAGTTGGCGTTGGACCATTTAACATCTTCAAGATCAATGTGTACTCGAGTTCTTCCAATACCCGGCTTGCCATGTTTGGCAAATACTTTACATGCTGCGCTATCATGGCATTTCCGATGGCTCTCGAAAGCAGAATTCAGACAGATTGGGTATATCATCTTCTTACCATTCATGTTGTTATTCGGTTTTTCAAGGTGAGGATATCCACCCTTAGGCACCTTGGCACTTTGAAAGGCAACAACTGGATCTCGTCCCCTCATCGGATTCCTTGCTTCATTCCACACAAAAGGTGGAGTACCATTAACAAATACTACCTTCTCCTTCTCCTTGTCTTTTCCAGGCTTAGGAGGACCATTACGATCATCGTGCAATAACTTGTTGCGAGAAGACCGATCGGAACCTCCAGAGGCTTGATTCGATGCCTGTAGAAAAACAGAAATACAAGGGGACGACCAGATTGGATCCTGTAAGCTGTAGTAGGTTTTATCCCACTTGTTATACATTGCATCTCGATATTTTTGAATAGCCGATTTCAGATGGGCAGTTCGAGTTGTACTTCGTCGACTCTCCATCGAAGAGGAGACGACCATGAAAGGAAAGTTAGGATGACTTGCAAGACGAGCCTCATGTATGCCATAATGACCCATATCAGCTCCAGACCGGTAATCCACAAACGACTTCAAGTGGT